TGGTTAGACGATTTTTATTTTGTCATTAACTACAGCTCATAGCCATCTTAAATCAGTTTTTTATTAATAATAACCATTTATTTGGTTGTTTTATTCAAATCTGTATTGAATGAAGTCTTTGATTTTCAATTTTAAGTCCTATTATGCTCCCAAACATTAAAAAAAAAAAAATCACCTTCTTTTACACACATTTTTTGCTTTGATGTTATGCTTTGTATGTTATCTGTATTCAAATATGTTACATGTATTGAATCTTCAATTTTTGTGGCGACAACTTGCCCTTTCTAAGAACTATTTTATTTCTCCTATTATTTTCATTTACCAAACCATTGGAATAAATTGTACATTTCAATGTATTTTGATTATTGATCCATTGATGTATCTAGACTTTTACTATGACTCTCAGTTCTCTCTCCATCTTCTCTGTACTGCTGATACTTGTGATAAGAATTTTTGCCTGTCACAAAACTTACAGTTGTGGCACATGGTAGGAGATTAATGAAACCTAGTGGTTTGACTTTTGAAGCATAGTCTACTGAAGTCAAGGCTATCGAGTGGCTGTGTTTGTGAGCTTAGCATCTTTTCTTGTCTTAAGCTTTCTGTTTTTTATCAGTCTTCTGTCATGAATTTGTAAAGGTTAACTATAAACTGCAATTTCTGTTGAGACAAAATTTAGACTGATCTAGCTGTATATCAATAGATGGCATACAGGTACCTATATATGTACAGTCCTTCATTTAAAATTTTATTGTATGTTCCAGCAAATTGCCCTGGTAAGCTCTCTCTTCGGGTGCAATTGTTGTGAAGCCACAGTTTTAGACTACCTTTGCTGGTTATTTTTCTTCAACTTCTCATCAGCTCTTATTTTTGTTTAAAAAGATCAAGGGAGTATAAGTTAAGCAGCAATGAATGTGTAAACATTGACTTGTGATATTCAACTAGAGTTGGCTTCAACATTCCTTTAAAATTGGTTCTCGGGACCTGTCTACATACAACCTAACTTGCCCCATAACATTGTATTTTAAATTCTATCTTAGATGAAACCACAGCTGGATTCCTTCATTTTCCTTGAGTCTCATTGGCCATGATCATTTTCCATCATTTATGTGCAATCGTTTTACTTTGTAAAGATCCTCTCAGAAATTTCTTTCAAGTAGGAGGGCTCTTGGAGAGGTTGTTGAAACAGCCCAAGCAATTTATCTAGCACTCTACAGTGCAGTATATGCTTTTAATTATTAGCACTATTATACTGTTGCCCGCCCCTTCCCTCTTAAATATATCTTAGTGTGAATGATTCACCACAGCTTGGGGCAGAATAAACACAAATGTTTTAATAAATTGATTGTTTTCTTTTAATGATTTTCCTTCCTAAATCCATATTTTTTGCCTATGAGTCTATGAACACAGGAAAAAAAAAACATGATTGAAAATTCATACCATACCTATCACAATTAATTTTTAAATTCATCAAAATAAATAAATCACAATCATCTGCCTGAACAACTAGTCAATGTGGTAAACATGTTTCTTGAAAAATATAAATTTGATCTGGGCAACATGTCTGCATAAGTTAACTGCTTGCAGAGGTTTAAGCTTAAGCTGCTTGACAGCTGTAGGCAAGTTTAGTAGCATGAATGACACCCCATCAAATGCCTCCTTCTTAAGAATTTTTGCTAATGGTTTGCAGTCTTTAGTTTGATTAAGGTATGCTTCTACATCATAAACAGACCAGTTTTGAGGATTGCTGTCAATCTTCGGTAAGGGGTACAGCCAACTACCGGGTGCAGGTAATTCCACCTTATTTGGATCTTTTTCTTCGTTCTGATCATTTTCTTTTTGTCTTTTCACTCCTCTCCGTTCAGGTCGTTGCCTGTAAATCATCCACATTATAAATTTTACACACCTAAATTTAGGACAAAACCCCTGCCAAAAACAAACAAAAAAAAACACTTACTTTGCTGGTGCTACATTTGATGAATTCAGGGCTAATTTAGCTCCTCTAGTAACAATTTCACGGCGGCGAGGAGTTGCTTCAGGTAGAGACTGAGTACTAGGCTCAGCACTTGCCTCATCTCCACTTGCATCACTGTCAGCACCTACAATTGAGTATTAAAAGACAGGAAAAATATAAAAATAAAACATGGGATGGGTGGGTGACAGGATGGGTGACAGGTATTTTACCTTGCGAAGTCTGAGCTTGAGTTGTGGAGTTGCGTGTTTTAATACTAGAAAATCTCCTTTTGCGGCCTCTCCTTCGTTTGGGACCGACAATTTCTAACTCAGGCAGTGTCTCCCCGGCAGGTCGGTTCCCTTTCTTTTGTCGATTCAACCAATATTGGGAGTCTAAATAGAAAGAATGTTAAAGTGCAATCATCTGATAGAAACTTCTATGTAATTTCAGTGATTATTGTTTAGACATAGATAGATACATACTATATTTGGACTTGGATTGGCTGTTGCAGTTTTCTGGACAGTTTCCTGCTTCAACACGTGTTGGACCAAACAGGTAAGCACACATCTTCAATCGAGTACAGATATCTTGACAAAATTCAGGAACCTGATCTGATGATGTGACTATAGCAACACGGGCCCTGTAGTTTGTTTGATTAAACCTAAACATAATAATAAATCAGGATACTTTAAAATGTGGACAGATCTTGACCGAGAGATTGTGTTGCAAGAGTTCATTAATTCATAATTCAGTAATATAAAGAAATTAACTTACTTAGCCTTGAGCACCTCAACATGTTCACCTGGTTTGAGGTCACCATCACACTGAATCTCTTTCAAGACACGACTTGATTTGTAAGCAACAGAAATTAACATTGATAAAACCTCTCGCATCACTAATCTAACTGGTCCAGGACCAACAGCTTGAGGCAAACCTGCCAGTTTGCTTTTAGAGAGGAATGGACCAGAAAAACACTTATGATTGAAATAAATTTTGGGGCACCACAATTTGCTTGTACGTTGTCCTTGGTCAGGATCTTTTCTGTCATTGCTGTCAACACAAATAAATAAAATTGGTATTGTAGTTCTGTAGGTAGAAATGTTTTAAAATCAGACTGCAGAGCACAATAGGTACAGTACACACCTTTCATCCCCTTGAATACTATTGCTACTACTTGAAGGTATTTGGTAGTAAAGGGGTGGTTTTAATGAGTAAGAATTACTGTCACACCAACCCACTGGAAATATGTCCGAGGAGTCATATGAAACTGCGTGGTTAGGGTGGTCACTAAAGAAAAAAGGCAGCATAAATAAACACCCAACCTCCTCCTATAAGATATTATGGAATTCATTATCTTCCTGGCATACCTTTCATTTCGCTCAAGATGTATCCAAATTATATGCCCAGTAGTTCTTGTAACAGTTGCAACACAAATTTCTGAACGATCAACTGGATTTACAACTTCTAGTTTCATATTAGCTAGAAACCCATTATGTTTGGCACATTGCTTTTGAGAAAAGCATTTCTCAGGTGCAGCCACAGCACTTGTATGTTGTAAATATTCATCCCAATGAAATTCCTCACCACTATCACACTTCCAGCCTGCTGGTTTTGACACTTTCATTCCATGTTTGTTAGCCCATCCTGTGAATTGGGAAAACATTTTGAAAAATTACTCTGATATTTGATATAGATTGGTAAAGAACTGGTTGGTTAACATACCAGTAGGAAAGATGTAAGGATGCATTTCAGTGCACAGCATTGATTGTTTAGGTTCGTCTTCGACCTGATCAGATATACTATCAATTTCTACAAGGAAATATTCTTCACCCCACACTTCAACAACTGTTGCAGGACATATTTTAGTATGATCTGCTGGATGAAGAACCTCCATTTTCATCCCAAGAATGAAGGAATGAGGTGTAATCGCAGTGGCGTGCTGAGAAATGTAAAGTGTGATTTAATTTTCACAATGTGAATAAGCTTTCAGCAAACAAACCCATAAGATGTAAGACATGTTATTACTTGAAAGAGATCTCTAGGAAGTGGAGCCTGGCGTGCATCTTCTTTAGCCATCTCCATAAGAGCTTCCCATTCCTCCTTCCCATGACTTGATTTAAAATGTGAAGGTCGACGAAGTTCCCATGGGTCACCTAGAGAATGAAAATTTACTGGAGTGAAGAGCTGTAACTGTAATACCATTAAGAACGTTTGCAATTGGTGACATCTATACCTTTTTCTGCAGCCCATCCCATTGGAAATATTCGAGGTGAGGTAAAATAAAGCCAAAATTCAGGGGCTGATGAATCAGGTGTATCATACCGAAGTAAGAGACGACCACCAACATTCTCAATAATCTATGAAAGAGGTGTAAAATTACTATTTATGATAAGTAGATCAGTGTACACAGGTATGACTCAATACGGGCTAAGTGAGAACAGGTAAATAAGAAGAAACTTACAGTTGCAATCCATAAACTGTATGGACTACATGAATCTTGCACTTCAACCTTCATTCCAGCCTTAATACGATCAGCTGGGACAAATCCGTCCTAAGAAATTAAATACATTTAGTGGTTAGCATAGTACTGCTCATGAAAAAAGAAAATGTTATACTGCACCAATTATATATAATGTACTTACTCCACTTAAAAGATGAGACGGAACAGGCTTTGCAGTTTTCATTACATTTTCAATATGAGGTTGAGGGTCACCAATTAATTTTAAAACTGAGTCAGGAGGTATAAGTGATTTCCCTTCTTGAGCACACCAACCCAATGGGCGTGCATTACTTGACGAGAGGTCACACCAGAAGTCTGCTGATTGATCATCAACATCTCCAGAGTATCGCAATCTTGAAAATTGACCACAAGCAAGAACAACCTTTGCCAGCCAGAATTGTGAGCAGTCATCTTTGAGTGGAACTTCCAGCATCATATCATTTTCAAGTTCTGTGTGTAAGCCAGCTTCAACCTATCAGTGAAAAATTAAATGAGAATAAAGGGCAAATGTATAATAGAGAAATAATAAGTCAAGTAAACTTACATGTTGGAAGCAGCTATGAGGTACTTCTTGGGAATTTGTCACATCTAAATAATCTTGCCAGTTAAAGCCAGTGTCACATTGTGTATCTGTAAGCCATATTAAAACTCAATAACAATAAAAATAAAGGGTTTGAGGCAAGAGAGTAGATGTAAATGCTTGAAGCAGATAAGAATACTTATGTGAGTAAACCACAAACATGTTAAGGGGATACAGTCTGACGTAGCATTCATACTAACAAGATTCACAATCCCAGCAAAATTTGAACTAGGCACCCCCCCTCTCCCACTCCCCCTACTGCAGTGCCTGAATTTCATGTACATGTTAACATAAAACGCACGGCTTATATAAGTTTTACCAGCACTCAATCGCGAGGGGAAGTATTCAGCTAATCGATACAAACCTGATTTAACGTAAGTTTTGCGATAAAGGGGAAATTAATGACGTCGGCATACAAAGGGAAACTGGACAGGGAGTTACCTGCATCTAGACCTCCAAAATCATATTGTTACCTTTTTCAAATTTGTCATTTGATTCTGAAGCCTCCTCCATGGGACTGCCAGAGTCTAAGCTTTGCTTTTCCTCTTCCATGATCAAGAATCTTTCAGTATTTTGTCAAATTTATCAAATACAAAACTGCATCTTTCCTCTTACAATGGACCAGACATGGATTTGTTTTCACATGCCCGAACGAGATTCTTCTTGTTTTTCTTCCACGACATGGATAGGAGACAAACGATGACCTGCTGTCCTTTATTTAAATTTTTAATAAAACTGTAATCCGTTGAAATGCAGTGTTTATAACAAATTCCCTTTTCTCCAGGTGTGGTACACTACCTCTTCTCTCTGATAACAATTTTATTTTAGAGCAAATTACATAATGGTCTGAGCGTTATCTTGTTTTTGCTAAGGCGGTGGTGTGGTGTCGCGCTGCGCTGAGAAGCTGTGCCGACTCTGGCGGTAGCAAGAAGTACGGCGTCACCTTGGAAGAAATTTGATATTTCGCCAATATTTTTGCCACGCTAAGTCCAAACCAACTTCGAAGGTGAGTCCTTTGGTTTTGCGTGATCGCGCCGTGTGATTCGAGGGTGGGCAGCCCGTGGTTGTTAGTGAAGGGGCGCGGCGGGCCGCTGGGCGGGTGTACGGTTAGTCGGCGCGGGCTAGCGTTGTTAACCGCCCTTTGTGCCTCGTGTGTAAATATTGATGAACACGGTTGTTACCGATGTCTCCGTTGTGCTGGCTCCCTCAAATCTGCTGTTCTACACTTTGTACACTTGTGTCGGCCGGCGCCGGTGCGATTCCCGTCTTAACCTTCTCCCACTCGGCCGAGGTTACGAGACGCCTGCCTTGTTTACCTGGGGATGCGATAAGCGTCGTTTAGCGTGTTTCGCAAGTCACTACCAGGTGTGACGCTTTGTATCAGGGTGGAAAGTAATTTCTCTCAATGCTCTCTAGTTGGAATCCATAGTTTTGTCAGTTGCACTATTCCGAGTAATTTCTTCTCAAGTTTTGGTTATGCATCTCTCATGGGTTATGATTTCATTTCACCAATTTGTGGAAACACTTTCTTCCCCCTGTCCAGTTTGGGGCATCTTTATATTTGTAAAGGTGTGGACGACACCCTCTACACTGCAGTATCAACCTCCATCGCAGATGGGTTTGGGCTCACTTGACCGAACTTCGTTTCATTCCTCTAGTCGACTTTAGTTTTTTTTGTGTATTCTCTCTGTAATATAATGCACTCTGTAAATTAAATTAGAAGACTATTATTTAGCATGCCCATAGCTGGCGTGTGCTTGTATTTCTCAATGCAAACCATCGTGTATTCCCTCCCAGCCCATGCAGGAAGATGTACCTGGTCTGGAAAGTCTACAGGTCAGACCAGTAAATCTAGCAAAGACAACCTTAACTGTTTTTGGTCTGAAGAGTGTCTCACTCGTTCGTCACTCTGTCTTTTTCAGTTTTTGATTTCCCATGTGTGGGTCGCATTGCCTCCGGCAGTGTCATAGGGTTGTCTGAGCCTGGCGTGTGACACGGTCGGCGCGGCGGGTCTGTTGGTTGTTGTTGAACGCGTTGGGGAAACAAAAGTACCCCTTTTCACCCGACTGCTTCTGAAAGGGCGAGTTACAAACCACCCCCCGAGGACTATAATGTCTATGAAAATTATATGACTGTGGCTCGCGCGGCACGCTCTGCTCCGGGCGGAGGGGCGTGGCGTGGCGGGCCGGTGGCCGGCACGCTATGGTATTGACTGACCCTCCC